ATATCCTTACCTGTAGGTCATGTGATCAATCTTTACTGCACATGCACAGGTTTTACCTTTATTAAGAAATTGTTCGTAGCAGACGAGTTGAAGGCGTTGAATAATTAGGAAGAGATAGGAACTAATGTGTCTATGTTGTTTACTCTCTGAATGATTTAGTTAGATATATAACAAATCGTATTAATTCTGTTAATTAGTACCAGATACTTTGGCCCTATTTATATTACAGTATACCTTTTTTCTTATTTTTTCTTTTTATAACCCAGGCATGCATACCTCATTCGTTGGTTGTCTGGGGATGGGCTGCCCCAGCTACAAACAACAATACCTGAAACACCCTCTATTTTCTTCATCACAAATTAACACTTGTTCATTTTTTTCTGTCTCACTTTTTCACACTCTCATACTGTAATTTCTACTTTCTTACCTCACTTTTTTTACACTCTCGTACAAACCCTCCTAACACGGAGGTAACAAAAAAATAAAAATTAACACGGAAATTTTGTCCGGTTTCCGGGTTCCTTATATAATAAGTTATGTGTTTTCATGTATTTCCGCTGATTGTTGAAAACAGTATATTTTTATTAACTTGCAATTGGTAAGTAATGTTCAGACTATTTGCTGTTTGAATTTTTGGAAATTTAAGAACCACTTATATTTAATGATAATGTAAATAAGACTAAACTAATCATATACTACGTAATAGATTTTTAATTGTTCTTGCTAGCATTGTATAGAGTCATTGTTATTTGTTCCGGTCCACCTGCAGTCCTCCATTTTTTATACTTGTAATGATCAACATACTGAAACTCTTTGTAACATTAATAGAGTAAGTTCATTTACAATAATATCTAATTTAAATAATGTATATTAAAAATGACGTACGTAAATGGGTTTCAATAACGTGTAATGTAGATAATATCAATTAGCCAATTTAATAGGTAACAAAGTCTATTTCAGTTCATTAACATTATTGGTTAATTTTAAAGGAAGCAATTAATATAACCTGGACAAAATTATAAATATGAAATATAATTCATGACATATAAGAATTCCAGTTATACCGATAATGACTTGCAATGTAACAGGCACAGTGTAATGTTTAAATACTATACGTGTGTTATTGTGTTCTTTTGTTGTGTTCGTCCACAATGTGTCTATGATGGACATCATTGAACAATAAATGGTGAAAATACAGGATCGTGTTTGTTGTCACGCCTCTGCCCTAATCCCATCCCTGGTTCCCGAGTCATGTGTTGGTATATTACACACTAAAATGGGTCTTCCGTGTTATGAAGCAATGACCTGACGAATTAATCCAGCATGGTATATAGCTATATTTAGCATGCAAACATTATTGGGGCTCGAAATAGATTTTAGTGTTCGGATGAGTACTTTATTTCTGTGATATACAAACATTAAGATATTATGTAGATATTTTGAACTTAATTTCTTAAAACGCGCCGAATAAACATGTTATTTTCATCTCTGTTGTGCTGTTTTGTACAAGAGAACGTGATAATCGATGCCGTCTATGTAATTCATAAACACGTCACAACTGAAAACGAGGGTAAATAAAATAATCATGTGTTGGTTAAATAAAGGGGATATTTTTAATCTTCAATGTTAATAAAGATAAATTTAAGAAAAAGTTGTTTATGTTTCAATTGATATTTAACTATATTGTAGATAAAACGTGTATTATATATCGCAAACAAATGTTCGAATCGAGTATTGTGAACACTCTGAAGTTCATCATCTGTATTGTTACCAAGGAGACGACTTTCCATTTTTTTAAACAAAGATTACAGTAATGACGATTTGTTTTTATAATTTCAAAACCATAAACATAAAAAAAATGTTGAAATTGATTTTTATGTACAGGACTTTGTGTATTTGACTATTACAACATACTGGCAATAGTTACGGACTATATTTTCTCAGCGGAAGACGACCAAAATAAAGGGCAGTATTAACCTCTATAATGACGTATGAATAGCTGTAAATGGGCCACCAAGTAAAACAAAATACTTCAAAACAGAACAAATGAAAAGAAAATTGTTATACACACATAAGTGTCGTATTTATCAAATAATGTTTATTTGAGTTTCACAATGAGAGATAACATATAATGCCATTATTATTACAACAGAACCGAAGATTCTGTGTGAATAAAATGTGGAAACATTATGATTTTTTTATATTCCTTAACAACGCTGTTATTCAACAGGAGATTTTGTTATGTTGGGCGACCACCAATGGCTGATAGTATAAGGTACAGTACCAGTCGGAGCAGGCTTTTCACATCAAGAAGGAGAAATACCATTACCACAGCATTTTATATCCATTATTCAGTTCCACACACGCGCATTAATGGTCCCTTAACTGTTGCCTTAACGTTGTAAGGAATGGTAGGACGCCTGCAATATTGCCCATCCATTCGCAAGGTCAAAACACGCACATTAATAATCCCTTAACTAGTTATTTATCATTGGTAGTAATAGTAGGACGCTTAAAATATTTCCAATCCATTTCCAAGGTCAAGAATGTTAGGACGCCTGCACCATTTCCAATCCATTGCTATAGGGTCCAAACACGCGGGTTCACGATCCCTCAAACATGTTGCTATCACTGTTCGGAATGGAGGCAAGTCATTATACCTAGCCTATGATCATACTCTGTTTGAAATATACGTTATCGTTTAAATATAAATGTATAAACTATTTACTGCAATAGCTTACGATAGCAATCTGTTTTAAGAGTGAAATAGTTCTGTACTTATCCGCCAGTTATCTTCCTGTTCTGTCTGGTGGCCTAGTGTTTTTGGTGCATTCTTTTCCAGAGCATGTTTTACCCCCTCACCCCCCNCACACACGCGCGCGCACACACACACACATTATTACACCAATCAAAGGGCGGTGGACATGTATTAGAGTTCAATATTAAAATATACTACGATACCGAATACAGATACATAATCGCAACTGAATTTAGTGAATGTAGGATTTTTCATTATAAAATTGAAGGACGGGCACACAGACCTTGTTCCTGTGGTAAAAATACGTAGATTCTGTGGTCATCAGGCCAAACCTTTAATAAATCGTTTCTGTGAAAACTAGAAATATAGTTTTTGCAATAACTGGATTTAGTTTCTATGGTAACCAAACATAGTTTATACAGTAACCAGGCACTAGTACCACTAAAGTAAAACAATACGGGTTAAGTCTATATTTCTTAAGATACCAAATAAAATATTAAACAGATTATTAAACATGTTCTTGGAGTTGGTAAACACATTTGTCCTTAGAGAGACCATTAATGGTAAATGACGTGACGTCATGTTAGCCGACGTAACGCCACTAGCTTCACACTCTGTGTTAACCAAGAAACGTGCTGTGATACTAATCACACCTATATGTTATCCGACGTAACGCCACTAGCTTCACACTCTGTGTTAACAAAGGAACGTGCTGTGACACTATGCGCACCCTAAATGGTATCCGACTTAACGCCACTAGCTTCACACTCTTTATTAACTAAGAAACGTGCTGTGATGCCATGTACACCTTACACCTATATGTTATCCGACGTAACGCCGCTAGCTTCACACTCTGTGTTAACAAAGGAATGTCTTGTGATACTATTTACACCTGTCATGTGATCCGACGTAACGCCACTGGCTTCACACTCGGTGTTAACAAAGGAAAGTCTTGTGATACTATTTACACCTTACATGTTGTCAGACTGAACGTCACTAGCACACTCCATTAACCAAGACACGTTTTATGATACTATGTACACCTAACATGGTATACGACGTTACGTCATCGGCTACATTAAGTGTAAATAAGATAGCTAGTCCTCGGTCATACCAAACAAAAGTGTCCGGAGTAAATTTATTTCGTAACTAGAATGGGCAACGAAGTGTGACGTCATATCAGAGGCTCCATTTCTGAAGTAACGTGAATATATAAACAATGCCGCTACTACAAACGTGCTGATTAATTGAATGAAAACTCTATTTGCATATTGTCTGACCTCTCATCACAAACCATATTTCGCCGGTAATGTGGAAATCTGTCCAAATATTTATATAAATGTTGCTTCAAGTTATGTGTAACGTGGATGTGCGTATAAATTGAGTGACAGGTCTGTTAATTGTAAGAGCCTGGAGATGTATGTGTAGGACGCATATTTACTTAACGCTAAATATGAATCTCTCAAATTAAGGGACTGCTTTTAAATTACTTCTAAAACAAAAATACAGCACATTCTGAAACATCGGTTTCTGTGACAGCAATGTAAGCATACCTGCTATCTAATGAGTTAACTTCCTTATCTAATAAAGAATCCATACAATCTTCCGGAACCCCACAAACGATCGTACAGGAGACTTTGAAGAGAAGCATCTTCCAAAGTTAATGAGGTCGAAAATGAGGAAGTTTTTTATTGTGAAATTGTTTATGTTAAACAGAAGGTGTATAGCTCATCGGCAGAGACCTGTTTCAGGTAATTAAACAAACACTGCCTTGGGCTTCCGATGTTATGTACTTATATGTAATTCAAACAGATTTATGATAAAATATTCCAGGACAAAAATCATCCCCTGGTGACGGACAGGGTCAGACTTCTCGCATCGGTGTTAAAAATAATAAATCATTCAAAATATAAAACCATCTTCAAAGATGACATGTCTGTTAGAAGCGCTCCTCTCATTTAAACAATATGTCTGTAAAATACAGCAGCATAGATTTTCGTTTGTATTAATTAGCATTAATGAATTTAACCCCGTCATTATAAATTATAAAATGTTCCTGCTGCATTTAAATTCATGCTCTACAATGTGCACGTTTAAGTACATACGCAAAATAAGATCGGAATGAAACTCAGGTGACAAAATAGGATATGTTGTATCAACTCATGTATGTATGTCACTAAAAAATACCAACGTCACTTCCAACAGTTTCGTAATAATATAAAAATTACGTTAAAAAACCTACCCTTCTGGGAGCGTTTTCAAATCCCTCGTCCGGACAGAACTCTGCCAGATTTAAGATAAGCTGGACCTCGGAAGCCACAAATAAAATTGTCGTGCTCCACTTGGAGCCACGCCTCTGACCGTCAACAGGTGGCGCTTCCAGTGACGAGTCGGAGTCGCTAACGCCGTTTTCTTTGACGTCATCATCCGTGTGTGCAAATACACCCGATGCGGTACCGTTGGTGCTCGTGAAGTCAAAACGACGGCACGTCGCAGGGGTATTATTGATGGGCGTATCCCCATGTCCCAAAATAATAGGGACGATCTCTTCATCCCTTGGGGCAGGATGGGGGTCAAGATTTACGATTGTGGTATTGAACTCCTGTGAGGATTCTGAGTCGAGGCAGCCGGAGGCAACAACGGACAGCTCGGTGTAGGATGTGTTACCTGGCCTCGTCATTCATATGGTTCGCTGAGAGCACAACAATGGCCGGACAAACTACCAACCCAACAACATCGTAACACTAACAGGTGTAACCAGGACAAACACACAACACTATCACCAATAGCACCATTGGGGTACGTGCCCCTACATATACACGTTTGAGTGCAGGCCCGATTACATTGTGCAGTTAAGTTTGTAGAATGATACAATCTAAGGATTTGAGAATTCCTTCCATGAGATGAGAGTTATTCTGGCACGCTAGTAAGGAAGGTGGTCGAGTGAGCGGTACCCACCCTCCGAACACGTACACAAGCACGTGTAGGTGGACCTATCGGAGGCGCGCTCTCCTCTGCCTCCACGTTGTTCCTTAACGTTCGCACCTGGACGCCAATACTCCATCCCCTGTATTCCGATACATGTGTTACAACGTACTAGGAACATTATCGGGCTCTCTCCAGAGATCTCACCTTTGCTATTTCGGCTTATATATTTTTGATTCGTTGTATATATTAGAAGTTCTAATATGATTTATTAGCAGTGTCCTGTATTTAACATCGCGTTGAAGGCGTTCTTGCTTTTATTGCAATAAAGTACAAAAAATAAAACACCACCACATTAAGCTTCAAATTATACTTATTTCTATTATCAAAGCGATATGTTAACGGGATGGGTATGCTATTCTTTGACTAGCAGGACTCGCCTACAAGCCGATTCCCTTTAAGTTTGGTATCAGCGATTTGTAACGAAGCAGCAGGACATCGCCCTTTTGGTTCCCATATGTGTAGCGCTTAAGAGTAATTTTACAAATTATACAAGGCGCTATATACATGTTGTATATTATTATTATTATTATATTATTATTAAAACATATAGTCCTCAAAAAGTACAGACGTTAGTCTTATTTAAACAGGATATACAAATGGCGCTGCACTTATTGTTGTGTATATCATATAAGGTGCAAGGTACTAAAAAACCTGGGGGGGTTTGTGAGCAAAGTGATGCTTCTAATTTGCAAATATCTTTTGACACTTACATGTTCTGTGAAAGCGAACAACGTGCGTTTACGTGTGGTTGACCTTGACGTAGCCAAGGAAATCTCTGCTTGCCAAATTCTTAAAAAGATGTCTCCGTACATACAACACAATATATAACAATAAAAATATGTAATAAACATACATTACTGGTTTCTTCTTTATAATTATATACATCGTATTAAATAGTGCGTGTATCTAAGAACATGAAATAACTTGGTGATTTTCACCGAATCGGAATTGGACGGGTAACATTTAGAGTTCAATAAAGCCATATTGCTGCATCTTAAATACAACCATATCATCTGAAATCGCAGCCAGAGAGTCTGAAACGATGCTACTTTCCGCCATCTTGGATGAAAGTTTGTGGTATCTAAGTGGGCGGGACTTATCGGCGGATATCTCGGAAAGGTCTATTATTCCTGTTTGACTCCATTATAGTACACTTCTACGGGACTATCTATTGTTAAAAGTACAGAGATTCCAGGCATGTCAGACATAACTACCCCTACCTGTGAATACCTAACCACGTGTTACAATAGACAACTATTTAATTACACCGGTTTGACTAACGGGTACGTGTGCTCCCAACAATAACGCGTCGCGTGATTCACGAGACTGAGTACACTGCGGCATCTAACCCCATTACTTAGGTCATGTCATTGGGACGTAAGAATCTCAACATAACTAAGAGTGTGATTCCTTTAATGTTTTATGATTTTAGGTAATAGTTGCAGGAAGATCCATCAAACGAAACTATGTAAAGAGTGGCAGAACACGGGGCCAGCTAGTGTGTTAGATATAAAAAGATGAATGAAGGAGCGTGGGTATCACCGGAAGTGACGCGAACGCTGCAGAAATGATGAATGGCGTGGTGCTATATGTCAGGTAAGTATGGCAAGACCGCTTAACAGTTAGTCAGAACTAATGCAGTAAAATGTGTTAGAAGATATCAAACTAATATTAGGTTAACTTAAGACATGTTTCCTTTTAATTCTATCGAAAACACCGAAAACATTTATTAAGTATTTATTGAACAAAATATAGGATACTTATATCGACTGTATGAAAGGTCTTATAAATACATTTCAATTAGACATCTCAGGATGTTCAAGAAGTTTACTATATATCTTATATAATTAAGAGGTTATCTTATAAACTTATAAATTCTTCTTCACTTGTACTTTTATAAAACATTTTAAGTTTTTCATATTTGTTTGTTCAGGAATATAAACGCTGGGTTAGATTGACACACGTAAGAAGGATCGTCAGAATACAAGAAGGCTCAAATGTTAGCAAGGTCTGAAAAACTTTATTTCAGCTACATTAACAACAGATAGACAACTCGTTTAGCCACATCGGAGAATGGACACTGACGTTATGTTCTTCACAACACCCGTCCTGTCTTAAGTTAATGACGCTACCACACGACCGCTCCCTGGACGAGAAAAACAGCTGTTCAATACATAGTACAACGCCTGACGTAAGGTAATTGAACAATAGAATAACTGCACTTTTAATAGCACTGGGTTTGTTTACACTGGGGTGAATATGTTGCAACGTAAATTGCATTACGCTTCCCAAACACTATGTTTAAAGAGCTCATGATCACCAAATCGAATTTTTAGGGCAGGGCTTCGTTTTGGATAATACAGAATGACACTGATTTGCTTTCGACCATTAGTCGTAGTAAAATATATATTGTTTTGAAAAGAAGCTAGATTTTTCATTTTTTTTTTTTTTTTTGGTTATTTTCAATAAATCTAGCTATGCATTCGAAACAAATTAAATAATCTCTTCTTTTGTGTATCTCGTATACATTGAACTGAACATTTTTTTTCACAATTATAACTATTACTATTCTCCATATGTTGTAAAGCGCTTTAGAGTGATTTTACAAATTGTATGGGGCGCTATATAAATGTTGTATATTATTATTATTATTATCATTATTTGGCTTTGAGGAAAGGAATATGATGTTGCGTCGGCACAAAAAATATAATGCAATTTAACATGGGCCTTTGATTATTACATTTGTTATTTATTTATTTTTTACCTACAAGTTACCTGAAAATTAAGAACGCCAGTGGTCAACGTTGAACATATATTTGGTGACCAGGGTTGATATCTCTGTCATGGCAGGGGGGCACTGTTCGCCGCTTCCTCTTCTGCATACGTCTCGACAGCAGATTACTGACCAATCGAGCGTAAAATATGCTTAACTGTCTGTGAAAACCTTCTAATAGAATGTCACCTGATCTATTGAGAAGAGAAGATAGAATAGTCTGTACGACTGATTCTCCGTGTGATGAGATTAACAAAGAGCTCTCGTCCACAACACATCAGTTTGGAGAATATTATAATGATCGCACTGGCAAAATATTCCGAATATCAGATAGGACTGACAAACAACCTGTTCTCTGGCCCATAGATTAACTTAGTTGTCTGCTGGGACTCGCATTAAATCATAACGATATTAACACACCGTTTACAGATATCCTCATTTTCCCAGATGTCAATTTTCCCACCGTATCCAAATTTCAAATAGGAATGGTTTATAGTTTACTTTTCTTAATTATGAATTCTTTAATTGCATGATTACATTATTACTTAACGTATAGATCCTTGATTTTTAATCAACATAGCTCTACGCGAGCACCTTGCTTTTGCAAGATTAAGTATTAATAGTACAAGGTCTTTGACTTTTGTTCATATCTTACATGAGTTTCCTTTTCATATGAGATTATGAAACGAGTCTTAGAAATTTTCAACTTCGCGAGCCTCTGGCGAGCTAAAATAATAAAAAAAAAATCGTGACGAATGGAAACAGGCGTAAGATCCTTTTTATCACATAATCAAGATTTGTGGCATTTATTTGTGTAAAACAACAATTTTCATGCAACCTTGAAATGTAAAAAGCCGCCATTTTGACTCCAGTGTGTAAGTCTCTGACGTCATGTACTTGTCCTATGCGTGACGTCACAAGTGAAACAATTGAACATTACAAACAATCACAGGGCTGATAGGTCATATTACATGGGTTAATACCTCAAAAAATATGACATGGGTATATTCACTGGATAACACAGTACATAATGTAGCATGATGCAGAAAATGCTTATTCTTCCGGAACACCTGGTCTTATTCTCAGTGTACTTTTTAAAGGTGTCCATGTAAATCTTTCCTTTGTTCATAGTTTGCCCTACATGTAGTTTTATCGATTTAGAGTTCAAATAACATTTTAGTTGTCACTTCAATATTCCCTTCTTATATTGTTACTATTTGAATAGAATGGTGAGTTTCTTTTAGATGTTTAAAATTACTAGAGTACAGGAAAATGGTAGTATGTTCGTTTGCTATTTGTATAACACCAGTGTGTGTTATATATTTATAAAAAAATATCGGGGTGTCGATGGACGCCCATGACCCCGACATCCGTACGAAGACAGTCAAGTAATAATACTGGCATGTGGTCAAATATTTGTATCTATCATACATAAAATTCCATTGCAACGAAGTTTAGCTACCGTTAAACATGATTGTAAGTACATTGGCTCTAAATGTACTTCCTTTTCTTTCTTTTTCAGAGTTGTTCCATTAACATGAGGTTGCTGGCGTCGGCTAGTGCAAGGAAACATGACTCTACAGTAATAGATCTCTCACGTGTGGTGTGCGGATCATTCTAAATATACAGCCTCCATAAATCTTCTCAGGTAAATATTTACAGTCCTCTGGCCCCGGGGGTGGGGCCTGCCATTCTGGGTCATGTTTACAGATGGAAACCTGTATTTTTTTAATATAAGTACTAAAAGCTGGTTGGTATTGAATAAACGCATGTATGATACGTTGACCTGAGCTATAACTCTCCACATAAATATTTCTAGTTTCTACAGAGATGAGATATCCTGAACTATATTACTGCATGGGTCAAGTTTCATAAAAAAGTCACAATTATAGTGTATAATTGACGTTAAATCAGTAAAGCTGTCATAAAGATCTATTCCGAATTTTATATTGACGTTAATTCAGTAAAGCCGTCATAAAGATCTATTCCGATTTTTATATTGACGTTAAATCAGTAAAGCTGTCATAAAGATCTGTTCCGAACTTTATATAGACGTTAATTCATTAAAACCGTAATAAAGATGTATACTGAACTTTATATAGACGTTAAATCTGTTTTTTGACGTCCATTCAGTTTAAAGCCATAACAACGATGCATTCCTAACTGTATTTCGACGGGCATTCAGTAAAGCCATATTTGACGTTCA